AGGAAAAATAACCGTCTTCGCAAAACAGTTGATATGAACCTGGTTGAATTCCAACCAGTTCATTCCAAGGATGATATCAAGTTGTTCTAACGGTAGGCACACTAAATCCATACCGAAACCCCTACCAAAAATCACAATAGGACAATTCCTACAAACATACGAAGTAGTCACTGAACCCGACGCATGAGTATCAATAACCATACTTCCATCCATATTAGAAATATCCAAATTCAATCTTTTAGCACAATCCAAAGCAATAAAAGAATGCGTAGCTCCAGTATCAATAATCGCAATCAAATGTATGTCATTAATAAAACATGTACCTTTAATCAGCCGATCATATGGCTTAGTCTCTGACCCAGACAATGCAAACACTTTACCACCAACTTGCTCCTTCTTGGGTTTTGTACACTGAGGACGAGTATGACCTTCTTCACCACAGTTGTAACAAGTCACCACTCTTACTCTGCAATCATTGGCCACATGGCCGAGTTTCCCACACTTGAAACACTTCTTATCATTACTTTTGCAATCCACCATACGATGTCCTGTCTCACCACACTTGTAGCACTTAATGGAAGAACTAGAATCTCCTCCACCAAACTTCTTCCAACCACCGGGTCTCTGATTACTTCTATCATAAGGCTTACCACGATCCATCTGTTGCTTACCCTTCATATCAACATACCCTCGAGCATTCGACTTAGTGCTAGCAAGATCCTCCTCTAAAATCCTACTACAGTCAACCAGATCAGGAAATCTTCGGATACGCTGATACCGAATACCCTGCTTAATCTCATCACGAAGACCATTCTCAAACTTGATACATTTGGAAAATTCTCCATCTGTATCGTTAGTATAATGAGCATAATACTTCGCTAACTCAGTAAACTTCGAAGCATACTCACTGACAGTCTTGTTACCCTGCTTGAGTTCCAGAAACTCAATCTCCTTCTTGCCTCTGATGTCCTCAGGAAAGTACCTCCTCAGAAAAGCCCTCCTGAACACAGCCCAAGTCAACGCAATACCATCTTCTTCCATTTCAGTTCTGGTAGCAACCCACTAGTCATCAACTTCCTCTACTAACATGTGAGTTTCGTATCTCACCTTCAGCCCTTCAGCACAATCAATTACTCTGAATATCCTCTCGATCTCCTTCAACCACTTCTGAGCACCTTCGGGATCATGTGCACCCTTGAACAACAGAGGATTATTCCTCTGAAAATTCCCCAATTGTCGGTCAGCACCAATCACAACTCACTGTTGGTTCCCTCAGAGTACTCCAACTAACATTCCCAATGCTTCAGCAATAGCATCGTCATTTCTTCCGTTACCTCTTTCGGCCATTGTTCTGTAACATTACAAAACAACCTCATCAGCACACAAGTATCGACAATGTCATCTTACACTAGTCGCATACAAAAGAGATAACGACACAAGACAAGACCGACTATGCTCTGATACCAATATTGTAACACCCCTTCTAAAATACCCCGAATAATATTAATTATATCAATGATTAAAGACATATTCCATCAGAGTTAACATGGAACAAGGGATGTCACAATTATGAAATAAATAAAACTTCCAATAAAACAGTAGTCATGCTACACTGAGGGTCATTATTCAAATAATTCAATCAAATTAAGACCATGTCTTACACAGCGGAAAAATACCATAACCAAAACGGAATAAACCAAAACATAATTATTCCCAATGAAATTCAAAGAAACAATTGAATAATAACTAATTCCTCAACTAAACGTTCCCCAGTGTTACAGCCTATCAGAGCACGACACTGACACGCGGACTTAAAGTAACATAGCTCTAGAGCCATCCTCACCAACTCCTGAGCTGCTAACTTTAATCTGAAATTGTTAAAGTAAGGGTGAGATTTTTCATAATTAACATGCATTATAAGCTTCTCAATCAACATTATATCACAAGCATATTATTTCACCCATTTTAGCATAAATTCAGATTCAACACGCAGTTCCAATCATACAAGTCATTATGCACAAATCAATAATCAACCAAAGAATTGTAACACTGGAAGACATCCTAACATGTTACAATTCCATGCAAATACAAATGCAGACACAATGCATGCCGTACCAACACGTGACCAAGTCACCCAACACTGATCCATCATCAACCGGATACATCAACCATCGATTCGTCCATAAACACCCGGACACGAATCCAGCCTAACCACCCATCATCCCCCGAGTATCGGTTAACGGCAATACAAGTCAAATTCCACACAATGGGAATTAACTTCACCAAAACAATGCATATGCACACACATCACTAGCATGCAACATCAAATCAGTCTATGAAATACATCAATTTATCATAACTGAACCAAAACCAAAAACATGATATCTCAACGATCATGCACACCATCATTAGCAACATAAACATGCCTTTCATTCATACAATACTAATACATCCATCCATCACAGGTTCACTGCTACATACACACCCATGTGTGTTAGCCAATAATCACTTATTCCGGGATTTGACTAATTTTCAAAATAATTTCAGGTTTTAGGAAATCTTTTCATTTTATAAAATAGAGCATTAAATTTAAGAAATAACGTCCAAAACGACACTCAAAACGGACTTACAGTTTGAAAGTTATGAATTTTCAAAGTTTAGTATTTTTCAAAAAGTTACAGCAGAACCCGGTTCCTACATATGCAGGAACCGGTTCCTGCGAAGTTCAAAAATCACGCTTCTGGAAAAATGTACGGGAACCCGGTTCCTACCTATACATGAACCGGTTCCTACGTGCATTTTTGCTAGTTTTTATAAATTCACACAGTGGAACCCGGTTCCTCCCCACTGGGAACCGGTTCCCACGACATGCAGAGTCAAATTCTGCACTTTTGACAACATTTATTCATTCTAAACCAATTCCAAACATACCCATACGAATTGCAACATGAGAAACACCAAAACACATCCATTTTGCACCATTATAACATCAAACAACATTATTTCATCATTCCTTTTTATCATCTGACACCCTAATGGTTTTCAACCTACAATTTGACGCAATAGGGACAATTCTACGGAACCCTAGAATTCCAAACCGGGATTCCCTAACATACTATGATCCATACTATTGAATATCTAAACCGATAATACGAATTAACTAATCGAAATCACCCCTTACCTTGTGGGTTCTTCGAATTCTGACGCTTCCGATTTTCTCCTTCTTTTTCCTCTTCTCAAATGCACGTATGATGAATATTCCAAAATAATTCTCTTTCTGTTCTTTTTCCTTTTAATACTCCTTTTATTATTCCAATAAAATAATTAAATTAATAATTAGTAAGAGTAGAGTATTTTACCCCTCACACCCTCTAATCACTCTTCACACCACCAATACTTCTTTCCTTTAATTAATTAAATTAATTCCAATAATCCAAAAATACCAATAATTAAATTTCCAATTAAATTAATAATTAAAAATTCTAATTATTTAATAATCGGATTATTTGGGGTGTCACATGAACCACGGTTGGACGGTGAGGAGGGAGGAGACGAGTTGGAGAAGAAGATGAACATGAGCGTTTTCTGGGTGTGTGGGATTTCATTTGTATAAAGTGGGGTTTTTGAAATCTGATAACCAATTTAGGGATTTAGACACTATTTAATTACCTTAGACAGCGCTTTCAAGAAGCGCTGCTAAAGGTATTACCTTTAACAGCGCTTTAGGCTTTAGCAGCGCTTTTAGAGTAATGCCTTTAGCAACGCTTCTTAAAAGCGCTGTCTAAGGTATACCCTTTAGCAACGCTTCTGGAAAGTGTTGTCTAAGGTATACCCTTTAGCAGCGCTTTAGGCTTTAGCAATGCTTCATAGAATAACACCTTTAGTAGTGCTTTTAGTAAGCGTTGTCTAAAATATAACCTTTAGCAGCGCTTATTCTAATTTTTTTATTTTTTATTTTACTGAAAACTTATAGCAGCGCTTAGGGAAAGAAAGCGCTGTCTATGGTAAGGCCTATAGCAGCGCTTATAGTAAGTGATGTCTATAGTATACCTTTTAACAGCGCTTACTCTAATTTTTTAATTTTTTTTTACTGAAAACCTATAGCAGCGCTTAGGGCATAAGCGCTGTCTATGTGGCGCTGTCTAAATTCAATTTTGGCATAGTGGTGGTTTGTCTGTGTGGTTTCGATGATCTTGGGGTTGCCCCTACTTTGTTGTCTTTTTCAATTTAAATACCTGATTGGCACCTCCCAGATCAAGCACTCCTTATTTAAGGGGATAATGACCCATCTTGTGCTGTAAGTGAAATAGAAAATATTCAGACAAAAATTGATAAAGGTTCAAAAATAGTGACTTTCTCAGGTAGAAGTCATGGATTTGTCCACCAACCTGAATCTCCCGAAGAAGATAAGGATGCTGAAAAAGTTTATGTAATTATGAGAGATTAGAAAATTTCAATTTATTCTTTTATTGTTGTATCAAAATAAGAAAAATATTAATATATAATAGATTTGAAATATTAAGCATCAATATCAATATCAAACTAATCTAGTGGTACACTATGTTGTCTAGGAAAGAAGGAAATCATGTTCGTTTCTTTGCTTAGGCAAAATTTTGTATTTTTTTTAGGAATTTTGACTTTTATGATGACCATATGTCATGCGTATATGTTATTGTATAAGCCATGTCGGATGTCACACATGGAAAAATTAACGTCGTTTATGAAAATAGAAAAGACCTAAATGACGTCGTTTGAAGATATAAATGACTATATTGATTTTTAAAAAAATTAAGAGACCAAAGTAGACTCCAAAATAAAAGTAAGAGATTAAAAAAGGTATTTTACTTTAAATTTATAAATTATTCCCAAAAATAAAAGCTCTACTAGTTTCTCCCGATTTCAAAATCGCAAATTCGGTTATCTTGTTCATCGCACTTCTGTAAATCGAAAACTCCTTCCTTCGCTGTTCCAATCAAATCGGTGTCCTAACTCAAATCACGATGGTACGACCCCCTTTTCTTCGCTTTAACAATTTCACAAATCTACCACTCTTTCCCTTAAATTTCTACGTTTTTCTCTATCAACACTTTTAACCTAATCACCGATGCTGCTGAAACACGACACCGACACCGATCCATTGAGACTGATATTATTAATTTGAAAAAATAAATAAATTAAATGTAATCACAAATGTGAATATCAATTTCAGACACCAACAACGGATACATGTATTTTTTTTAGAGGTGTGGTGCTTAAGGGTTACTGACACAGTTTTGTTGTGCAATTTCCTTATCAGTCAACTATACTCAGAGGGGAGTCAAGGAGATTCAATAACAAACAAAAAGGACGACATCATTTGACGCCACAGAAGAGACATGAGATTAAGGAAGCGTTTGAATTATTTGACACTGATGGATCAAGTTTTATAAGCATCAAAATCACTGTGTAGTTAAATATGTTATTTACACTTTAGATCAATACTTTGATTGATCATGTTTAGGTACTATTGATGCCAAGGAGCTCAATGTTGCTATGAGGTATTGTTGTTATTTATAATGTCAAAATTTTTGTCATGTTTGTTAATTGGATATGTTTTTTTTCTTAACATACACCTTGTCTTTGCAGGGCCCTTGGATTTGAGATGACAGAAGAGGTATCATATAATTATCCCTCTATTCCTTCATTGCTATACACCATAGTAATGTAGTGCTTCTTTATTCTCATTGTATATTTATGGTCATTGCAGGGTAAGATATCTGCAGCAGACATCAGGCACATTGCAAAGGAGCTAGCTCAAAATTTTACTGATAGAGAGATTCAAGAGATGGTTGATGATGCAGACCAAAATAGTAAGTTAACACAGTCATATCCTTGCTAATGCTCTACTCTTTTAGTAAAACTTTTATATCTCACTTAGCCTATTTGTATTTCATTCTATGGTGAATGTGGTGGTGATGTGCGTTTTAAGTTATGCTGACATAGTGTAGTCTCTATAGGAATAAAAATAGTACAACTACTTTGAACTTAAAATCTGTGATTGAAAGTAAAGTAGACACTGATCATGTTTAAGTACACTCGTGTAGCTTCAGGCACTTACAATCATGAGATAAGAAAAATAATAATAAATTTATTCAACAACTAAGAGACTAATATTAATATCTATGCATTGAGGCATTACGGCCGGGCCATAATGCCCTCTGATTTGTGCTATGCATTTTGCTTCCTTGCGCAGTCTTCAGGTACCTTCTCGTATCTTTTCTGGTTCAACTCTTATACACTTGATCATGTCTTTCAGACCTTCTAAACTCCTAAAAAGCAAAGAAAACACGTAAACAAAAGTAAAATAGAATAAAAGCGCATCAAAAGTACTTGAAATAACAATGAAATCAAATGCTTAAAACGATAAAAACACTGCTTATCTTTCAACATGTTATACTATATTATTGTTTGTTAGATGATAATGTCAAAGGAGCAATATAAACTTTGCATTCTTTTTAGTGGTAGATTTAGTAACCGAACTGATTTTCTCTTCTTTTTTACCCCACACGTGTTTAATCACTGATAGTAATATGGTAGTTTAACTATAAAAGGCTACTAAGTTGATATACTATTTGTAAATCGAACAAATATGCAGATGCTAGCAAACAAAATTCGTGTGTATTGGATTTTTTCTTGCATTAGTATTGATAATTTATTCTCATGTCTGATATATTTTTAACGCAACATCTATGACTTTACAATATGCAGACGATCGAGAGGTTGATCCAGAGGAGTTCCTCATGATGATGAACAGAACAAGCTTCCGCCACTAGTCATGTTTACATTTTGTTTTAATAGTACATTTGTTTGGCTATATAAATATAGATTATATGAAGTTGTACTCGCGCCATTGTGTACATAGTAGGAATGATGTATCAAATGTTGTTTGTTTTAATAAGTTGTAAATAAGTTGATATCTAAGAGATTGGGTTTGAATCTGAGATTTTTCACTTATCTACATCTAATGTGTATCAGCTTAACCACTGGATTATTTGGAGAAAAAAAAGACATTCATAAAATTAGCAGCTAGATGTGTTATTATTAGTACACTAAAGTCTAAAACTGTATCTCCAACATATATTCTAATAGTTGAAATTTTAAATAGTTTATTAAATTATGAGTATATAGTCGGATAGTACTGCATAAGATATTTGATTTCATTGTAAGACTAGTTTCAAAGATAATAGTTGATTAGGTGATTGAATGGAATATAATAATTACCGTCTAGAGCATTTGAAATTTGAATTGTGTTTGGCACATTTGTTATAATAGAAATCAACTTTTTGCGGGAAGGCTTTTTGATCCTGGAGTCGGTAAGTGAATTCTAATTAGAGAAAAATCACTTATACTAATTAAACATTTTGAAAGACTCCTATGAAAGACATTATATAATATAGACTTGTATGATTCAATTGAAGAGGAAAAAAGTAAATTGAGTGATAAGTTTGATGTCGAATAAAAGAAGAATAAAAAAAGAATTGGAAGACAACAATAAATTAAAAGAGTTGTAAGAATGCAAAAGCGTGCAAAATAAAACATATTAGATTGGAAAGTCGGCTAATATAAAATACAAGGATGGCGAATCAATGCTAGAGCACATGAGTGTTTTAAAATATTGTGGATTTGTTGACGACAAGTGATATTAATATGGATGATGAGTTGATAAATTACAAGGATGACGAGTGTTTTAAAATATTGTAGATGAGTTGATAAAATACAAGGATGACGAGTGCTTTAAAATACTGTGTATTTGTTGACGACAAGTGATATTAATATGAATGATGAGTTGATAAAATACAAATGACGAGTCAGTGACAAAGCTCATGAGTGTTAAAATATTGTGAATTTATTGACGATAAGTGATATCAATATGGATGATAAGTTGCAAGCTTTATTATTGCTTATTTCATTATCCGATAATTGAGAACTTCTTGTTGTCACACTTACTAATTATACTTCCAATGAAAAGCTAGCAATGTCAATGGTTAAAGATAACATGCTTAATGAAGAAACTAGAAAATAGAAGTCTGGTTTGATTCTTAATTCCTGAATATGACCTCTAAATGGGATATGTCCTTCATTCTCCTAAAATTTGATGATCATGTCGTCTATATAAACTTCCAAACACATCTCCAATTAAATTCTTGAAGACTTTGTTCATCATCCTTTTGGTGTGTGACGTCCGCATTCTTAAGGTCGAACGACATGATTTGTAACAAAAATTTTATATGTCCATCATAAATGCAGCTTTTCAATTCTCATCCTGTCGGGCTTGCACATGAATAATTGATTTTGACTCAACCATCATTGTGTTAGCTAATATTTTTGACACATTAGATTTCAATGCGGAAGGGTGCTTTTTGACACATTAAACACGAAGTCACTTAACCATAATCCCCTTATATTTGTTGATTCGAACAATCTCATGATTGTGAAGTTAGCATATTTTTGACAAATGATTTTGAAGGTTGGATGACTTAAAATTTCAACGACGATAGTTAAGCCGCTTACAAGAGAATAAGACCAAGTAATTACAATTCAAAATTATCTTAATATCAAAGACACGCGAGCCCAAAAACTACATAAAAAGATAAGTATCCCAACCCAAAATTATTTATACCGAGGAATTCGACCTTGAAACATTGAGAAAAACACACATACTAAGCCTTCGCCCCAAAACTAACATCTGAGTTTAGTAGTAACATAACTTAATGTAATATTTGTATATGTCCTAAACTTTATAATATGTTTTGTCCTCGTAGATTACATCACAAACACATGGGTTATCGTTGCGCGACTTTGCGTTGTTGCTTGGTGCAAGTGAGATCACTCTGCAGTACCACTTCCGCAATTTCACATTACGGTCGCATAGGTGATATAGACAATGCTCGAAAGGTGTTCGACAATACGCCATTGCCACACAGAACCATCACTTCCTGGAACGCCATGGTCGCTGCGTACTTCGAATCTCACAAACCTCGCGACGCCATCCTTCTGTTCGACCAAATGCCCCAAAGAAACACTGTTTCCTTCAACGGCATGATTTCGGGTTATGTAAAAAACGGAATGGTCGCTGAAGCGAGGAAGGTGTTCGACGTTATGCCTGAACGAAATGTTGTGTCGTGGACTTCCATGGTTCGTGGTTACATTCAAGAGGGTATGGTGGAAGAAGCTGAAAGGCTCTTCTGGGAAATGCCACACAAGAATGTGGTGTCGTGGACTGTTATGATTAGTGGGTTTTTGAAGGAATCTCGTTTTAAGGATGCAAAGAAACTGTTTGATATGATGCCTGTGAAGGATGTTGTGGCGGTTACTAACATGATTAGTGGGTATTGTCAGGTGGGGCGTTTGGATGAAGCTCGTGAACTATTTGATGAAACGGCGATGAGAAATGTGTTTACTTGGACTACTATGGTTTCTGGGTATGCAAAGAATGGGAGGGTTGATGTTGCACGAAAGCTTTTTGAAGTGATGCCGGGGAGAAATGAGGTGTCTTGGACGGCTATGCTTATGGGGTATACTCAGAGTGGGAGGATGAAAGAGGCTTTCGAGCTTTTTGAAGCAATGCCGGTGAAGTGGGTTGTTGCTTGTAATGAGATGATCACACGGTTTGGACTTTCTGGGGAGGTGAATAGAGCTAGGACGATGTTTGAGGGAATGAAAGAGAGGGACGAGGGAACTTGGAATGCTATGATTAAGGTGTGCGAAAGGAAAGGGTTTGAGTTGGAAGCTCTGGGTTTGTTTGTTAGGATGCAAAGGGAAGGGGTTGAGTTGAATTTCCCTTCGTTTATCAGTATTCTTTCTGTGTGTGCCAGTTTAGCTAGCCTTGATCATGGCAGGCAAGTTCATGCTCGGTTAGTTAGATCTGAGTTTGATCAAGATTTATATGTTGCCTCGGTTTTGATTACGATGTATGTTAAGTGTGGTGATCTTGTTAGAGCAAAAGGGATTTTTAATAGGTTTCCACTTAAGGATGTTGTTATGTGGAATTCTATGATCACGGGTTATTCTCAGCATGGGTTGGGAGAGGATGCTCTGATTGTTTTCCGAGATATGTGCTCATCTGGAGTTCAGCCAGACGAGGTTACCTTCATTGGAGTTCTTTCAGCTTGTAGCTACAGTGGCAAAGTGAAGGAAGGGTTCAAAATTTTCGAAGCAATGAAATGCACTTATCAAGTGGAGCCAGGAATCGAACACTATGCTTGTATGGTTGATTTGCTAGGCCGAGCAGGCCAGGTAGATGAGGCAATGGAACTGGTAGAGAAAATGCCGATGGAACCGGATGCTATTGTTTGGGGTGCATTATTAGGTGCTTGCAGAAACCATATGAAGCTCGATTTGGCTGAAATTGCTGTAGAGAAACTTGCGAAGCTAGAGCCCAAAAATGCTGGGCCTTATGTCTTGCTCTCGCATATGTATGCATCTAGGGGAAGATGGAAGGATGTTGAAGTACTTAGGAAAAAAATAAATGCTAGGAGTGTCGTCAAATTTCCTGGATGTAGTTGGATTGAGGTGGAGAAAAAGGTGCATACATTCACCGGGGGAGACAGCAAGGGCCACCCGGAGCAGCCTATTATCACAAAAATGTTGGAGAAGCTAGGTGGAATTTTAAGGGAAGCTGGATATTGTCCTGATGGTAGCTTTGTGCTTCACGATGTGGATGAGGAAGAGAAGACGCATAGCTTGGGTTATCATAGTGAAAAACTAGCTGTAGCATACGGACTCCTAAAAGTGCCTGAAGGGATGCCAATTAGAGTTATGAAAAATTTGCGGGTTTGTGGAGATTGTCATTCTGCGATCAAATTGATCGCAAAAGTCACTGGAAGGGAGATAATTTTAAGAGATGCCAATAGATTTCACCATTTTAAAGATGGCCGCTGTTCTTGCAAGGACTTTTGGTAGTTCCTTGAAACAGTCACATTCAGTCTCAGACTTGAATAAGTTGTTGAATTAGAGGGTTGCTTTGTTCCTGAGCATAATGGGATGGGAAACTATGCACATGATGAGCTCTATTTAACAATCAAACAGAAGCTCCTTACATTTTAGTCACTTGCAAATTGTACAGTGGTAACTTACAATAGCAAGTACTGTTGTACCACTTTTTTGAACATCATCTTGACACTCTCAGCATAATTTGCGATTGTCTTCCAAAGAACAGTTCTAATGCTTATGCTTTTTGCATTGAAATAGATGGAATGAAAGCCTTCACTTTCAACGAACTGGCAGTTGATACTAAGTACTGGAATCTGTCCAGGGAGATAATGGGAAGGTTTTAAACGCGTATGGGATGCACTAACCCAAAAATCTTTACACCAGGTGCTGTGTTTCTGGAGCTGTTGATGGGGTTGCAAGTTGCAACCTCTATCACGGAGTAAGAACATCGATTACAAGGTAACTGTTTAATAGCACCAGTGTACTATTCATCATATCTCTTATAGTTTAGACCCTTTGGATTTTTAAGATTTCCAATATTAATAATTAAGGTAGAAAGAGTACCATCTTCCTTTCTTAGTTGGTCGTTTTTCACTTCTAATTTCCACCCTAGGAAAGCTTAATTTCAAGCTCCACAAAACTTTCATGCGTCCTTTGTTTTGTTACAAAGGTATGCTTAGATAATAGATTGACCAGATTGTTAAGACTGCTCTCTTGGGTAAAAGTACTCCTAAAAATTGTTTCAATTGCATGTAAAGTGCTTCTGATTTTTTTTCTTAAATTCAGCTGGTCTTTTGTAGGTATTGGGCCAAACTTCAATTTACCTTCATTGGGCAATAGTGTCATATCAGATGAAAACGGCTTGTTATTTTAGCATGATATTTTCCCTTTTAGAAATTAGACAATGGAGTGGTTTGCTCCCATCTGATTTGAGAGGTTAACTTTAGCACTCAGATGTTGCCATGAGCTCGTAACAATATAGAGAAGAGTATATCACTGTAAAGTTGTCAACAATTCTATATTTTTAACTTTTTGCCAAATTTTGAGTCTAGAATGCGCCATTTTTATTTAGAACTAGTCTACTAAACTGGCTAGGCATGTCATTATTTTAAATATATAGTTGCTTGGCTCAATTTTGTACTACTATTTGATACAAATTGGTGTGTTCGTATATAATCAATATTTAGCTTGGCATAAAACTCTACACAACTTAAATAAACTAGTATGCACAAGCATTTTTCCCCAGGATCAGATATAATGCCATCATATAATACATTTTGTTTTTTCATGCAGAAGCTTTGGAAAGGTAGTTGAGTACTCTTGATGATACAAGATAGGATTTTCTTCCAACTTAGATGATCTTATGACAGAATTTGGTATAACCTTAAGATGCGTTTTAAGCACTCTTTAAAGTTAAATTTGCCTTCTTGTGTGCTACAGCTTAATACTTCGATTGAGACAGATATTCATAAAATGCTGATCAGTTTGGACCGTTGTAGACAGCATAATAGGTGGTTGCTAACTACCGTCAGCCAGATTGCATTGAGCCGTTTATAACTTAGGTACTCAGTTGCTGCCATGGTAACACACAAGAGAGATCATCAATGGGGTTAGATCACTTAGATGTGATTGGAGAGCTAGAAGAATATGGTTACATGCTTGCAGGAACTGGAAGTTCTTTCCTATAGATTCCCTTTTATGATTGCAAAATTGCGTCATCAGCATCACATATATGATTGAAACGGTTCCTAGCTGATCCAATTATTCTGCCACCTTTGGATTCGCGGTGGAAATGATAAAATTTCAGTAAGCCACTACAATTTTGGCATATGCTACAGTTTAAAGCCTTAACAAAAATCACCTTGTAATCTGATTTTGCCAAACTCGCTCATCAAAAAATTAAATAAAAGTTGTTTGAGTTTAAACTGATTATTTCCGCTCCTAAAAGGAATGTGTTTTTGATTGCTTTTCCTTCAAAAACAAACAATCCTTAGAAGATAATTGTCTTCTTGCTGACTCTTTTAACTTAAGATGTGTTATAATACCATAGCAACTTCTTTGCAGCCTCTTCTGGTGATTTGGTCAAAAGACACTGACACACGACATACGTTTAGCTTTTGCTCTATTGGCATCAACTTCATAGTTATCAGTACGGAAGCCAAAAAACATGTTTGGCGATATCAGTCACAGGTAAAAGACTACTGACTACTGTGAAGTCAAATTTGGACTTCTTTTCAAATCATATGCATGCTTAATTGTCGTTCTGGATACTTTATTCTGGTTCAAGCATCTTGACGCGTGAGATCCTAGAAGTGGTATTTTTTAAGGTGTATGTATTCCCTTCGCTTTCTTGGATTCTACTAGTTTGATGTAAACCATAACATACATAATGTTTATCTAGTTGCTTTGTTTTCCTTTTGAAGCACATAGTGGTTTCTATATCACGCACCTGGAGCAAAACCTTGGTACCTTGTGTTTTCTTTTACTAATATAATATAATTGATCCAATGATCAAATTCATAGATTCGAGTACTTTTTCATTTTAAAACTACAGAAGATCATCACAAGAAAAATCAAAACAACAACGTAAGTGATCACATGTTTCTTAATTTGTCCATGGCCTGTGTTTGTATATACAAGATTTAGCATCCTTGTAAACACATATATAACCAACAAAATTCGCATTCAAATACTAAGATAGGCTAAAACTTATAGTCTAAGATCAGGTTTATAATTCTATTTCTTCTCCATTGAGGATGTTTATAATATCTCAATAATTCTTGGTTAGTTTTCTCTAAAATTTCAAGATATACAAAACAACAAGCATTGATAACACATTTCCTATGCACATGACCTTTAATAATCAAATAAATGATAAAAAACAACAATAGTATAAAAGAGGTATAATTAATAGAATAGTATCTTATATATAAAATTATTAAGTCTAACTTTTAGAGTCAGTAATTATCAATATTAATTTATTTTAATTTTAATTTAAAAAATAGTAATTTACTAATTTTGTTATCTCTCTTTATCATTTTTAATTTATTAAAATATTATTTAGTTTAAATTAATATAATCATTAAAAAACTAACTCTATTATCATAGCTTTTAATCAACTTTTGAAACCAAAATTAAGGTTAATTTAATAATTATTAATATTATTTTATTTTATTTTATTTTAAATTAAAAACATATTAACCCACTAACTTCATTATTTCTTTATCATTTTTAATTAATTAAGATATTATTTAATTTTAATTAACATAATTATCCGTTCGGGTTGTAGGCTGTAACTCGCCTACATGAAGCTAGAATCTCTCTTAATTATTAAAACATTATTTAGTTTTAATTAATTCCATTATTGCTCTTAATCATTTTTAATTGATTAAAATATTATATTGTTTAATTTTAACTAACATAGTCATCTTATATATAAAAGTTGTTAAGTCTTTTAAATAATTTTTGGAGTCAAAAACTAAAATTAATTTAGTAATTGTCAATATTTATTTTTATTTTAATTAAAAAAATATTAATCCACTAACTTCATTATCTCTCTTTATCATTTTTATTAATTAAAATATCATTTAGTTATAATTAAAAAAGGTAATGATGACTCTGAATACCAACAGTGATTGGTAGAAGGCGAAAAGCAAACAAGTGATTTCTGTGGTCAAAGAGAAGACATGTGTCGAATGGAAATCTCAAAGAATGATCATCTCTCCTTGCGTCGAAACTGATATTCTTGGGGGGTAATTTGTTAGTTCCTAAATTCGACACCTACAACAAGTTGGTCTTATGGGCAAAAAATAGATTGAACAAGTCTAAGTTGGAAAGGTTTCGAGAGAGTAGAAAGGTACTTAGAGAAATTCTAAGTTAAAATGAATCTTCGACCAAAAGGTTCTCGCATCCTTCGACCGAAACGGTCCCAAGGTCTTCGACTAGAAGGAAACTTCGTATCTGCAATAGAAGATTTTGAATCTGAAGAAAGGAGGAAAAAGCAGTTCGCTTGGCAGTTGAGGAAAGCAACGTGGCGTGAAGAGAGGGGTCGAATCGCATGCAGAAGATACTTGTCTTCATCCTAGAGCAAGACAACTCCTCGACGGTTACCTAGTTTTAGTATAAATGTAGGAAGTTTATGTAGATTTCTGTGTGTTCAACTGATCGTACAAATTATTCAATACTATTCAAGTACCCGCTGCGTGAGAAAGAATACTGAAAATGTACGTTTGAAACACCACATTTTACAATCAAAGTCTTTTATTTCTCTCTTTACATTTCTTGCATTTTTATCTTGTTTGCACTTTATCTGCACTTTTACCCAGATTCCTGCGCCTAAACTCTCCTCAACCCTTTTTTTCTTCTATTTACTTTCTGCACTCAAACTCATCCCTTTCCCAGTCGAGCGTGCGTTCTTCACTTACATTAGCATTTATGTCCAAACAACATAAAAAATTAGCATATGTCCTAGGATCAAACTGATCGATCCCGCGAGTAACAAAAAAGTTATCCTGTTTGGAAGATCAGTGGTTATTCACCAGAAAATACGGTGAACAAATTGGCACATCTGATGGGACATTTCTAATTATTGTTGCTTTATTTATTTTGTCTTCTGTTTTTTCTTATTAATCTTAATATAAATGCTTCGCATAATTTTCTTTCTTTTACAAAGCTTTGCATGCTATTAAGAAGTGGTAAAGTAACCACTAACGAGTGTACAACTAGAAAGAGAAATAGTGAAAGCAATATGGCTAATCAGCCAAATAATGGAGAAATACCTCCACCAATTACTACGGGAACATCGGTAATACCAACCGTTAGTGAAATTGTCTCGTCAATTGTTGGTTCGATACCAACGTTAACAGCAACCCAAACGGGACCAATACTTTCATATGCAGGTCCCAGAGGTCCAACAGGAACACCTCCACCAAGGGTGAATCTAGGATCTCGATCACACGCTCCCCCAGGATTTTCGACAGCCTGGATGGGTCGAGACTAGCCTTATGGCATGCCAACTACTGAAATGGCTAGCCTTATGAACGTTGCGCCTACATTCTCAGAACCTTTGGTAAGTGTGTCTTCACCATTACAAGGATTTGGAACTGGTATGGGTAGGAACCCACTTCTAGGAGGGACATCCCATGCAATGCCAAGCTTCACAAATGCTTCCACAAAAATTTTGAGGCAACAGATGGATGAAAGCAACCATGACATGGTACAAATATTGGCCCAAACTCTAAGTACAATATTGAACCCTCTAATACAAAATACCACTCAGTCAAACCAATAAATGACAGTGCAAATGGCGCACATGACTGAATTTTTTGGGGTTCCCAACCCTATTCCACAACCCCAGAGAGCTCCTATGAGAGAGGATCAAGGTGTAATCTTAGAAGAAGATGTAACTATTAACCAAAATCCACAATTCGATAGGAGGAACCACAAAGTAGAAATCAAACAACCTAGGGTCGAAATACCCAGACTTCCACCACAGATCCTTAGAGATGGTGATCAAGGTGTAATGATGGTAAATAGGAACCAAAATACTGACGAACTGATACAGCAAGTTCGACACCATAATTATGGCACAGAAAATAATCTGACAGCCATGATCGAAAGGATCATGATACAAAATGGAATGAATGTTGGCTTTCATAGGCCAAATTTACATCCCCAATGTCAGAATATATCTTGCAAACGGATTTGCCCCCTAGGTGGAAAGTTCCAAAGTTCACTAAGTTTTCAGGGGATACGACGGAATCAATTGTCGAACATATAGCGAGATATTTGATAGAAGCTGGGGAAATATCAAATAATGAGAGCCTTAGGATTAAATAATTCCCAAGTTCTCTAACAAAAAACGCTTTTACTTGGTTTACCACCCTCCCAGCCAATTCAATCCACAATTGGAATCAATTGGAAAGATTGTTCCATGAACAATTTTACATGGGACAAACCAAAATAAGTCTGAAAGAACTGGCAAGCGTGAAAAGAAGATTCACTGAGCCAATAGACGAATATCTGAATAGGTTTCAATTGCTCAAAGCCAGATGCTTTAAACAAGTGCCTGAACATGAATTGGTCGAAATGGCTGCAAGGGGCCTAAACTATTCTATTAGGAAGAAACTAGATACCCAATATCTGAGGGACATGGCCCAATTGTCCGATAGAGTTCGACAGGTAGAACGTCTTAAAATTGAAAAAGCTAAAGCAACTAAGACTCATCGGCGAGAAAAGGTAGCCTATGTTGAAATGGATGATGATGATCCAGAGACATATAGTAATCCTATAGCCGTCGAAGAGAGCGAAATAGATTTAGCAGAGTTGAAACATGGGCCTCCATACTCTTGTAGAGTGTTACTGCCCTCAGATGGGAAGAATCCTACTGAGTCTGAAAAGAACAACGATAAATTTCCAAAGAAAACATATAGTTTCGTCGTCACAAAATGTGATGAGATATTCGACTTATTAGTGAAAGATGGCCAAATGATAGTGCCCCCAGGGATAAAAATGCCTCCTTTAGAACAAAGAAAGAAAATAGGTTTTTGTTAGTATCATGATTTTTTGGGCCATAAAACTTCACAATGTTTTCTTTTCAGGGATCTCGTTCGAGGAGCGATCAAAGAAGGCAGACTAAAATTTGCTGACAAACCCCAAATGAAAATTGATGCAGACCCACTGAGAGCTGATGCCCATTATGCTGAACCAGCAGGCATCAACATGGTCGAAACTTCTGAAGACTTTGTCAATATGCCGACCTTTGGCAGTTTTACCGGGAACATCTCCAGAAAGACTGCAGAAGCGGTTAGAAAGGCCACTAAGGTCTAAACAAGAAGTCTACTGAAGGCCTAAGCAAAGGAGTTACTGAAGACTCAAACAAAAGGACTACTGTAAGTTCTTATGTGGCTGCCGTCAAGGGTTCGACAGAGGACCTTGAAGCTAAAATGCAAAAAATGAATCTCGCTGCCAAGAGAAACGTACAAGTCAACATGGTCGAAGTATCTGATGCAAAGGCTTCATAGGAATCCATTAGACAAGAGGAAGTGAATAAAACTGCATTTCTAAAAGAAAATGAGAATCTAGCTGACTTTCTACAATGATGCCAGGAGAAGAAGTCTGAAGTTATGTTGTGTCCAAGATGCAGCTCCATCTTCGACAAAAAGGTTGCATAACACATACAAGGAATAAGGGCAGTGAAGGAGAAA